AATTTTCTCAGCTGAACATTTTTGTTTTGTTTCATGGGTTATGAGTGTGTTCTAAAATATCTTGTAGCAATTATTGAACTATTGATTCACTATCTGTTCACAGTATAGCTAGACCTTTCTTAAAATATCGGCACAATGTTGCCAAATGACAACATCCGGCCGTAAAGGTTAAACAACCTTGAAACATTTAAAATCTTTCTATATAAAAGTAAACACGGATGTGAAAATGTGAAATCGGGTGTATGAATCGAATTGAAAGGCTTCTTGGTAATGGGTTCCACCTATGCTCTCCATCCTAATAGTACAAGAGCTCATTGCCGCCTGTTTTAATGATTTAAAGTAGTTCTTCATCTCGAGGAGCCCGGTAAAAAACAAATTTTTATTTTTGCCAAAAAAGCTTATGCAAACATTATCGTCTTCGCGTGTTCTTTTTTCTTCAAGTAAATCAATTATTTTTTGAAAATATGAAAGTGCGCATTTTATCACACGACAGTGCGTTTTTTACTGATGTTGACTGATAGAATGATTAGAAAATGTTATATATGTTCAAGATTGTGACAAACTAATACCTCAACTGTATTGAGCAGTTTGCTGATTTAAATTTGGAATTTGCTCTCACAGCTTGATTTTGAGAATACTGTCAACACTTGTGATTGACTTTCATGAGAAATTTAAGAACAATTGATTATGTAATTATTTTCATGGCGATTTCAGTTGAATTTTATTCAACATCCGATCCATGCTTTCATAGCTGTAAATTTCAAGTAGTTTCACTGACAATATTCATTAAAATATCAGCAGTAATAAATAGAAAGATTTCTCAAAATTTCACTATACTTTTGTGCTGGCATTCAATATTCAATCTAGATTTCATCCAAATTGTGACTAATAACTACCTATAAACGGATGGAAGAACTCCAATAGAAGTTTAATAGATTTTTTTCTTGAAACTCAACTAAGATTCAAATTTAATATGGCCATATATCGATAGGATGAAATTAGTTATCTTTTGAATCGTATTTTCGCATAACCTTTGGAAATAGATTGAATAAGTGTGTTATTCTTGCTGTAGCTAAGGAACTCTTTTCTTCACTTAAAAAAAAAGAATATTTTAGTAACAGACAGATTTCTCAATGAAAAAGAATGCTCGGAGTTGACTTTAGTTTTACTTGAATAATTTATTCTCGTATAAAGTACATAAACAAACTGGGAGTACGGACTGAAGTGAGAATATCGAGTGTAGGATGTTTATCAAATATCATGACACATATAGTTCCATTAAGCCAATTAGTTGATAAACTGAAAGTCTAGGGACCGATAATCTCTATGTGCATTTCTTTTCTAGTCTGTATAGAAACTTAGGCAAAGACTTAATCAAAATAATTTGAATACATTATAACAGAAATCTATTGAAATCCTATGACGTGTAATTATTCCGGTAATATCTTCTTCAAGATGTCACCAAAAATGATACTACTATATGATGATACATTCTTGTCAATACTGACGAGTATCGTAATTTATTCTTTGTTTCAAATACACTAGAAAATGTTTTAGGATCTCAATAGAATTCTGCTTTTTAATCCTAAAAATGTTTTAAAATTCTATGGCTTAGTTCCTTTTAAAGAATATGACTTCTTTCTCAGTAAAGAGCATCGAACTCGCACTGAGTCTTTGTTTGATTCCCCAATGAGCCAACTTGGAAATATCCGATATTTTTACTGGCACTATGTCTTCTAGAATTTAAGTCGCAAAAATACTGTCTTTTTCTATCTTATAATTAGATGTTCTATGAGATAAGACCGTATGTCATCGTATAGGACTCTGCATGATTGTACGTTCAACCTAAAAGTAGAAAAAAAAGGAGATCTCATATATTGACGCAGTTGTCTAACAGTTAGGTAGTCAAAAAATCAATTTCTTCTTCTTCCTATGCAATCTATTTGCAAAATTTTGTAGAAGTGACCCGCTTCATTTAAATCTCATTGTCACGCGTTGGTTCAGATGCTTGTTTGTTGATATGAAATTGTCGGTGAGTGTTCGTCTAATTCTATTAGTCGAGTATTTACATAGATGACATTGAGATGAAGATCTATATCGATACTCTCGTAACCTTCCGCAAAAAATTTAACCTACAGTGAGTGAATACTTGTACAGTACACAATCAATCATTTTATTTTCAACTCATTTGGCAATCTAAATTGATAAAACATGCGAAGAAAATGACGTTGAGAATTATGTATTTTTCGCAAATGCGACATCTCGTTTTTTAAGGTGCCCGTAAGGCGAATTTCGAGCAGAAATGTTTTTTTCGTCTCTTTTACATGATTTGATACAGCTTGCTCGAAGTTTGAATTGCTTGCACTTTATTTAAATAACAGGTAGAGTTTTAATGCACTAAGGCTTGTTTGTTTGTTTGTGACGACTGTTTGTTTCATTTTTTGTTTACTTTCCTTATAATTTTTAATTGACAAGAGAAGCGAGCATAGATTTCTTAAGGTTTCATCGGAGAAAAAATGAATTATTCTAGTGAGTCACTCAATCAGCGAATTTATTGTGAAGCACAACTTCTGCAATTCATCAACCGTAGCCACAACTGAATAAACATTCGTTATGTTACGATGGAGCAATGGTCATTCTATTCTTTTCTATAATACTTTTCCTTCTCTGTGTTTTCGTTTGTGAGTTGCACGCACCGAAAAGGTAGTATTGAAAAAATGTCAGCTTTTCTCTTTTTTTGATACATTTTTATTGCCTAAAGAAATAATTCTGTTATTTTACTCAACTCAAAACTGGTGGTCACTTGAATAGTTTCTATTGATCGAGAACCCTATTCACTCGTAGAAAAACTCAAACAGAATAGAGAGAGCGACATACATTCCTTTCTTACCTCATGATATTTTCACTAGCGCAGTTGTAAAAGAAAATCACCTACAGAGGTTAAGCAATAAAATAAATAATAAGTGATGACTATTTCAGATAGTTTTCTTGTTGCTTGAGTGTCATGATCTTGCACATGTAGCATCTATTGTTATTCTTTAGAAGACACAATTCAACATCAGCTAATGACAAGTGTCATTCAAATTCCATTTCAATGTATCACACTCGCTGCGTTGCTTCTCATCTCTTGGATGTCTTCCGTAAAGATTATGTATAATAATATTAACTGCCAGTTTTTCAATAGAAGTATCTCGTTGTCCTATCGTAACGATAGTGTATTGCCGTTGTCCATGATAATTGATCCTCGTTTGAAACTTCATCATTTCACTTTATCTGGAACGCATAACAGTTATCATAAAGCAAATATTATCGCTCAATATGAACATACAAAGTTGGAATCTCAATTGGATGCAGGCGTTCGACAATTTGAATTGGATATTCATCTAATGGAAAATTACGATGTTATTTATCATTTGCAATTATTTGATGATAAAACGAACTGCTACTGTTTAAGTCAGTGTCTTCTGCGAATTCGTCGATGGAGTATAATGAATCCTACCCATCATCCAATATTTTTGTTCTTTGAGATCAAACAGAAGTTTTATGAAGACATGTTTACGCCTCTCACTGGTGGAATGCAGTGTCGACATATTCAGAATATAAAAAGGCAGCTATTGGAAGTGTTCTCAAACGAGTCCCTCATACTCTCAGAACAAGTCCGAGGTAGTCATTCATCGCTTCGTTTAGCTTTAAAACAACAGAGAGATAATGAATTAAATGGCAGCTATACGTATGATGAATACGGGTGGCCACCATTGATTAGTTCATTAGGAAAAATTTTACCCGTGATTCTTGATGAGGCCTACAATCGTGCAGTGGAGCTATTTAATAATTGTGAGCCACTAATGAATTTTTTCTTTATTGCTCAAGCAGCACTAAATCGTCCGTATTCATCTATTGTTTGTGTTTCAAATCCTCTTACGCAGCAACAACAGTTAATTGAAAATGCAAACAATGGTCTAATCACACGCATTTTACTTGGGTATGGTAGTCAACAACTTTTTGAGAACTATAAACTAGCTCTGAAATATGGTATCCACATCATTAGTACAGATTCAGTTCAATGTGATGATACACCGTTATGTAGAAGTATTGCTACGCACTTTTCAGCATCTTCTCCTGTATTATGCAACAGACTGACGAGGCCTACGTTTTGCAACAGAACTTTCTCAGATCTAGATGAATAATTAAGTAAAATGACAAGAGTTTTATTTATGTTTTCTTATTTTCTAAATTAATCAAAGATTATTTGGTATAAAAATATTCGAAAGAGTATGTTCCGGAACTGTTCTTGGTCTTGCCAAACAGTTCATGTTGTTTATTATCTTCACACTAATCTTTCACTTTTCACAATTGAAAAAAAACATCAGATCATTGAATCATGGTACACCTTAGAATAGACAGTCACTCTTCGCTCCTTTCTCCAACACAAACATTACACATTGTACCAGAGATCCCAGACTCGCCGAGTTTCCTCGTCTTGTGGCGAGGCGAGCCGGGGTTTTCTACACCACGGCGAGAACGAGTTGACTTTGTAGCTCGCCGAGTTACTCGCCTATATTTAGAATGTTATTTTTTATGAAACAATAGCAAATTGATGTCGACTTCTTTCAATTTGATGGCTAACTTCTAGACGTACTCGTTTAAATCCACAACAAATAAACAACTCATTGTTTATACGTTCAGTAAAAAGAAAGAATGATTGTTATTTATTTATTTTGATTTAATTTTGTAATTTTCTTATTTGTTTTTCTTTCAACTTATCTACATTTATTAAGCGTATTCAATGTGATATAATGAAATAAAGAATTGCAGGTATTGCAGGTAGCTGGAATAACTACCTAAAAAGATCTTTATTAAGATAGATCACAGGCGAGGCGAGGCGAGGCAGCAATGCTCAACTGGCCAACACGGCGAGGTGATGGCGAGTCGTATTTTTAACTGACTCACCGATCTCTGTATTGTACATGTTAATAATCTTTATCAAAGTATTATTCTCTTGCGTGGCTACAAAAGAGGAAAGCATTTCAAGAGTATAATTCAAATTTGTGACTCACTCTGTAATTCATGGAAACAATCGTATTTTTTGCATTAATTTCAGATTCGAGAGATCATGGCGTCATTCTGCTTTGCTAATGACATGTGTTTGAAAAACATGCATTCAGTATAGCAACCAGTAATGACACGTGCAAATTCGAGAACACCTAACACTAGTTAACGACGGAGTACAGTAGTGTCCTGATAAATCCCGAGGGAGACGTCCTTTGAAAATAATTTTTTTCGCTGGAATCCTGACAAGCACTGCGATGCATGATACTAATCCAAGTGAAAAAATATCACTTGAAATTTGCATTGTTCGTATATATTGATACATGCTCAAGCAACTTGAAAAAGCAAATAGAAAAAAACATGGCACCCAGAGTAATAGAAATTTATCTTTTATATTTTGTGATTGATTCTATTGGTACTTGAATACAGTAGCCGATGAGTGATGAATTTTATCCACAAAAATTGGTAAAACAAATGAGCTACTGCAAAATTCGAACAACACTACCCCATGAGTTAATTTTCTTCAGATGATAACTATCTTAGAGGAAGTTTCTCATTGAAAAACTATGCAAAGCACAATCCACCTCTCTCAGTACATAATCAATATTTCTTTTAAGTAAATTGATGTTTTTTTTTCATCCTCAAATAAGAGCATAGAACACCTTTGTACCACTGTCCATTTAAGTAAAAAAAACACATTACAAGATTGTTCTGTTCTGTTTTTTGAAGAAGAAAAAAACTCTAATGTTGATGACATGACGATTGAAAAAATAGAGTAAAATCGATCGTAAACCGTACAGCCCTAGAAAAAGCAACAGTTCAGTCATTTACATATGCAAAACAACAACAATATAGAAAATGAATAACACTAGTTAACATAGAATCGCAAGAAAAATAAAGATTTCGAAACATGGGAAAAACTGCTCAACTGATTGAGTTAGGTGTACGTTACGGTTTCATGGTCCACCCTCAAATGAAGTATATTATAACGGGTGGGCCATAAATAATGATGGTCTCCGTATTTCGTAAATATCTCATGAAGCTTTTATCCCTTAGACTTCGTGTTTCTTTAGAAAGATTCCTCATTCAATTCTCTACAAAAAGATACGAAAAGAGTTGGTACAAAATGTAACTGTGAAAGTCCATTTGATAAACACTCATATGCTCCGAATATCCTCACTTTCATAGTATTTCGTATCGTTCTTTGCATTTCCCGTCGTTATATGACCAAGTATAGAAATATTGACGACGCCATTTTGTAGCTCTTGAAAAGCCATATTAACTTGGCGGTCTTTGAAAAATGCTGACTTTGGAACTTGGATTAACATAACGCCTTTGTTTTTCTCTCACATTTGGGTTTTTCGGACCTGCCATTAGACTTCTTAATCTTCATGTGGCCAGATCAAAATGTAACTTTTCACAGTCAAATTTTTCTCAGCTCGAAGAAAAATGCTTTTTCTAACATCTATAAACTAGTTTGTCAATTTGCAGTTCGTTTCGGTACAAGATTGTGCACGCGAACAAAATTTTTAATTACTCCAGCTCGTTCTTCAAGGTAAAATGACCCTGAAACCTTATAATCATATCTAAGCGACTCGTTTTAAGTGCTGTGAGAAAGAGCATACTTGAAAATAGCGAGAAATGTGCCCCACATTGATTCAACGTCTAATTAGCCAGATGAGAAAAGAAAATTAATATGGTGAAAATGTGTGTTTGAAAGTGGACCTTTTCAAAACATGCTAGAGCTCACTAGATAGAGTTTCATGTATATATTTTTTGTCAACTCTTTTCATATCATTTTGTAGAGAATTGAATGAGGAATCTTTCTAAAGAAACACGAAGTCTAAGGGGTAAAAACTTCATGAGATATTTACGAAATACTGAACCCTTCATTATTTATGGCCCACCCGTTAATTAATGAAGCTATGCTCAATCATGTTGATGTACATTACTAAACATGTTTTTCGTCTAAGTAAATAAATGGGTATGACTGAGTTCGTTCTTTTCTCTGGGTATCAATCTAAGAAATCATTCATAAATAGATACTAAAACAGAGGCGTAATATTCAATAAATAAAGATAAACAACAAATCATGATCGTTGAAAAAAGTACACTTGTTTGACTTGATAAACCTTGAAAAATGACGATTGCTGTTATGAAATTATTACAAGGTTCGATCAACAACTCAAAATGATATATGCAGCAATGTAATATAATTTTTACTCGGAATTAAAGAGTAAGTTTATATACACATCAATATCCGATACAGGTTATTGTTATATCCTTTATTCGATTACAAGTTAAACTTAAGCGCAAAATTTTGAGACAGACATTAAAGAAAAGCTACACGTAGAGTTACAACATTACCATGTTGAAATGTTTGATAAAAGTTCTATCGAAAAACTAATTACATGACATATTGAAATCGAACTTAATTAAAACAAGTGTAATATATTCAAAAAATTACTTTTCGCTATATAATAAAAAGTAAAACTTTGTAATAAAAAAACTGTGTGTTCATCAAATGATTGTGCATAATGTCTCAAGTTATTTCTTTTATTTTTCTTGTACTGTAGCTTGCGTACGTTTCTATGTAATTGAACTAATAATTTTGCTTCTATACTATATGTTAAGGCTAAGTTAATTGAGTCTTCATGAAATTTAGTTGTTAAAATATTTCTTCTGAATATATCAATTTACTGAAACAACAATAAGCGCCTACATTTCAACGGCACACCCACCCGTATTCTTCTCGATCTATTATATCGTGTTGCTGAACTAGCACGATGCAATGCTTGCAGCTAAACACTTCCGATTGAAATCTGTGTCTATGGAAAACATACTAGAATACAATGCACTATGATGCCGTTTTAGTCATGTCTATGTTTTCCGAGGCAGTGCAATATTTCCTCGTGCAACGATTTGTTTGGTTTCATACAAATTGAATAGATTGATAAAAGGTTTTACTAAAATTTCTGTCGATTTATTTTACTTTTTTCCTAGCAAATGGCACATGCAGATCATGAAGCAAGAACAGCATTGAGCCTACATTACATCTTACGTTAACATTTTCAGAACGAGATTTGCTTTTACAAATTAAAACGGTGCAATATGAACTGAGTTTGAATTTCATTTCTTAATTCAATCTATTGACTCTTTTGAGATGATAGATACAAGTGTTTTATCTTAAATACTTGTCGTATGCGTTGAGAAATCTTCATTCTATCGAAATGAAAAATGCATAGTGATATGTGTCTGTCGTTTTCAAACGAATGAATAATACCAACAAATATTTCTTCATCGAATCGTTTCATTTTCTCGTTTAGATCAATCGATATCCCATGGCTAATTTAACACGTAATCAAGAGCAGCAACTACGTGATGCCTTCGATTTATTTGATAGAAGTAAGTGATAAATAATCATCCCACTATTCGTTCTTATTCTTATTCGATTGTTTTTGTAGATCGATCTGGTGATATCTCAAAGAAAGAATTGAAGAAAGTCTTGAAAACTCTAGGAATTAAAGCCAATGAAAAAGAATTGCAGGCTCTAATCAATCAAATGGATGCAGATGGAAGTGGTAAAATCGATTTCAATGAATTTAAAGCAGTCATGGGGAATAAGTATTTCAGTCGACATAGCACGGCAAATCTAGAAGCTGCTTTTAGCAGTTTTGATTCAGATGGAAATGGCTTCCTCACAATAGATGAACTGCAGAATGTTATGTCCAGGATGGGTCGACATATGACTCTAAGCGAAATTAAAGCCATGGTCCAGTCCTTAGATACAAATAAAGATGGCAAAATTTCGTTTAATGAATTTGCTAAATTATTTGATTGAATTACTGATTTCCCAATACACGTGATTGAAGTTTGTTGATCTTCATTCATGTTCTGAGATCATATTTTTTTCCGTAAAAACTTCAAATATAAGGAATATTATTACAATCTTTATTTTGGATTATCTTAGGCGATTTATTTCAAAGGGGATTTGTAACAGTATAAATATCACTGGTACATATTCTCACTCTTCTTATGGTACACTCTATCTTTCTCTCAAATGTTTTTAATTATTTTTATGCTTCTCACTTGCTTGTGGTTTTCTTCATATGTATTTACAACATATTTTACTAGTCATATTTTCATCAATAAATTGGTTATGTATCGTCACAACTATAGACACATGCACGTATGTCCATGGAAAACAGAAATGTTCGTTGAAATTTAAAAGCCAATTGTCAATATACAAACGTATTTGAAACAAATAATTAAATATTCTCTGAGCAATTCGAGTATTCTGTGGCTCTGTGCGTTTCTTTAATAATTCATGTCAATGTCAACACAAGAGAAATAATTGCAATAAAAGATTCATTATCGCTGGATATTTACAAACTTAACTCCACCAATATTTTCTCAATTAATATTTAAACATTGATCATTACTATAGAAATGTATTGATTTTCTCTCCAACTCTTGTTTGCTAGCGAAAACTTTAGGTGGCTACGATAGATACTCATCTGGAAAATCAATACAAATCTGCATAGTTATTTTACACTTTCAGATTTATTTATACGTATATCTAAGAGTCTGGTTAGAATAAATTCAAAAGCTAACGCTTTCTTAAACTGTTTCAACTAGCTATATAGACTCTGATCGTCACTGTGTTATGGTAAAAAATACGATGTGACACATCTTGTTGTTCACTTCAATTCAAGGCATCTTTATTGATCATGGAAAATATTGTCTCACCTTTTACTTGTACTTGATTCTAGTAGAAATTACTTGTAAATTATTTTTTTCTATCTTAGAAATATTGAAATAGGGTTTCTTCATTATTTTGCAAGGAATATTTTAAAGTGTCTATAGCACATTTCAATACATAGCGCCCTCTTTTTTTTTCGTATTATAGCAGAGGCCATATTAAATTTTGCTATTATGGCGATTTTCTATGCAATATGCAAACGAATCGAATCGATCGATTATTCGTTCAAACACTTTCACATACATACAGACATGAGAAATTTGCTTGTATGATTCATTGTTTTAAGTGCTAATTCTTTCTTCTATCGTGACTTTTTTCTCTTGATTTTATTGTTTTACCTTTTCTTTATTAGACCAATACATTTATTGATGTAATAAAATTAAACAAATTTCGATCAATAAAATAAAGCACTATTCATGGAACCGTCTCCATTTCAAGATATTGCATATATTCTTAAAAATGAATTACCATCTTTGAAGGGAAATCTCGCTGAAAATATATCAAACCTTGCTAAAGTAGCTGACTTTTGTGAAGATAACTATTTGAACTCATCAAATCATGATAAATCACGTGTTTATGAAGATACAAAAAATTATGCTATCCAAGCCGTAATTTACTTTTGTTTTGTTCTAGCTATTCTTTATTCATGTAGACTTATTTTTGTAGTTAGCCAGCGTGGCTTATCAGATAAATACAATTGCAACATCATTTTTACAACTATTAGATTTACAATCGAACCAATTTAATGAATTAGAAACAAATTTAAATGATCTAAGTGAAGATACAAATGTACACAAAGAAAAAGTAGCGCGAAGAGAAATTGGTACATTAACAACAAATAAAACTTTAGGCCGACAACCATTATTTATCAAACCAAGTAATCCAGAAAAACTTGTACGATACGTTCGTAAACCATTAGATTATTCAATTCTTGATGATATTGGTAAAGAAAATAAACAAATTAATTGTAGAAACGTTCGAATAACAGCAACTTTTTCTAATTTAGGTCATGGTGTTCGTTTATCACCGCAAGATAATAAATCTCGCCATATGATTTATAGTAATGGTCTTCAACAGCAACCCTCTACGCCACCATTAATGAAAAATACGAATGCTAGTTTATCTAAAGCAACTGGTGCTGGTTCATCTGTAATTTATGCTCAACGCTCATCTATTCAACAAACACCACCTGTTGTCGTTCCACCAACTGATTACGCTAGTCGACATGATCTTATTCTGAATAATGGTCATCCACATAATCCACATGGAAATCGTCAACAAACATCCTATAATCAATTGTTAATGATGATGAATAATGAGAATGTGTATGCAACACGACATAACGGAATTTTAAATACAAACAATATGAATCGATATACGGGAGCAATGATTGAAAATGGTGGTTCAGTACGATCAAGAGCCACAAGTCAACCACCAGGTTCAGCACGTGCTCCATTGCATATGGATAATTATGATCCAAGTAGTCAACAAGCAAATGGTAATGAAGCACAATATATGGCACAACAGTCGTATCTTCCACAATTCATTCCTGCAGCACCAAATCATTTTTTTGAAGCGACAACAACATTGCCAAGAAAAAATACTCGTGGATTTCGAAGACGTTTCGAAAACATAGACTGGGCACCTGAACAATATCTTGAAATGGTTATATTTCTACAAAATTTAATACAAATTTTTATTTTGTTTTTTCTTGTCTTCTAGGCGATTGCTTGTTATGATTATGAAAGTACTCGAGATGATGAACTAACATTTCGTGAAGATACAATCATTTTTGTTGTTGCAAAAAATGACGATGGTTGGTTTGAAGGAGTTATTGAACCTGGTATTCGAGGTCTATTTCCAGTAAGGCATTTGATCTTAATTAATAATCTTTTTAATTACTCACTTTCTTCTACTTAGGGAAATTATGTTGAACCATTATGTGAATGATAGGAACAAATATGATTCTAGTCATATATACGTAAAATATATCATGTCATTTAATCGTTATTGTGTTATCTGTTTATATATGCTTCCAATCATTATTGTCAGATTTCTTATCTCAATGCCGATTCGATCAAATCCTCTTCTTTTTTTTTCTCAAAAAAAAAATCAAAACAACAGTGAATCTTTCTTTTCTTTTGTGTTGTTCTGCTTCATATAATCATTGTCTTGCTTGCTTGTGTATGCGCGATACAAATAATTCTTTTTTTCTTTGTCAATTTGCTATTTATCTTTGTTGTATAGTATCGTTAATAGCCGAATAGGTGTGTGCATGGATTACAATAGATCACCTTACTTTTTTTTCTTTTTGATGTTATTTCTTCAAGAATAGCGCTGCCTTTTTGTTATTCTCAATATATCTATGCGCATGAAATAAAAATAAACCGGAATGAGATAGATTGCTTTCTATTTTACAGAGAAAATTATCATAGACGGACTCTGAAAACATCCGAAATTAAATTAAATATCATTTTTCTTCACAAAAATTTTGAACTGCCATCAATAGTATTTATTTTTGCTAAGGAATATAAGTAAATGCAAACAACTAGAATAAATTCAAAGCTATCGGAATTTGTTAAAGTCACTTAAGTACTAACACATACTTTTGCCATTTTGTGGGAGAGTATTTTTGTGATTGATGATGGCAGTTCTCTGAGTGTCTTCTTTTTTGCAAAATTGCAATCTTTTCGTTACTGATTTCATTCTTCCATAGAAAGAATAATAGTCAGCATAAGAAGTCTAGGCGCAAATCGAACTTTATTTCTGAATTATAACACTCATCTGATACTGTTAAACGATAAAGCAATAGTAGATCTTGTTTCTTTGTCTTAGTGTATATTGGACACGAAAATATATCGTTAATTTACGGAATACTTTCTTAAGATATAATATCGCATTGCTGAGAAGTCGTCATCTTTGTTTATATTTAATTTGAAGACAATAAAATTCTTCATCAAACATCACTATTGAAACAGTCATAGACAACAAAAGTCACTGCTTGATTTTGTTTCGAACTATAATATCTTGTGAAGTTATTCACCATCGATATATATATATATATCAGCTGAATTCAAGCTCATATTAAATATCAATTGTCTGTTTATTTTATTTTATGCCGATCTTTTTCTGACATAGAGAGGACTAATATATTTTTGACATACTTCGAGCTCTTGTTACTGATGGAATAAGTTAAATAGAGAGCTTCGATTTGTAATGAAAAATAACCTTATAGATTTTGTAGCGGTTTTACATGATAATATTTACTCTTTTATTTAACTGACAAAACTATAGGTTTAGATATTTTTCAATATACAAGATGAAAAAATCGAATATTTTCTGTGAAATTGTATAAAGATTCAGAAAAAACATGAGCATACATTCATATATGGAAGATTATTTTATTAAGTATATTATATGTATACCTGTAGATATTGTGATCAATGGATACTCATAATAAGTTGAATTTTCAATAATAATAATATAAAGGAAAACTATCGAACTGTATATCCAACGAATAGAAAGTCTTACTAAAAACAACGATCGAAGAAAAATCTATTGTATTTGAATTTTTGTGCTTTAAAACAGATACAATAGATAAAATTCACGCATGAACAATCACCGATATCATCATGCATATCGATGATGAATACAAAATTTTATTTTTGTTGAGTTCAAAGTATAACGTTAACTATCGTTCAAACGAACACGAAAGAAACGAAGGACGGAAGAGAGCAGCGTGAAAGCTTTTTCATACGGTCAAATATGATAATACAGCTATTTAACCTTTCATTTCTTAACTTTAAATTTTATATTATATAGATATAAAAACATTTTCTATTAAAAAATGAAGCAACATAATGAAACAACAGACGAAAAGGATACGGAATCAACTCCAGAAAAGCCAAAATTAAGTTTAATGAGTGGTATAGCATTATTGGTTGGTTCTATAATTGGATCAGGAATTTTCATTTCACCACGTGGTGTATTACTTGGGACTGGCAAGTTTATATTTTTCTTTTCATGAGTTTTTAGTACATAAAAACATCTATTCATATTTTATTCAATAGGTTCTTATGGTTTGTCAGTTATTGTATGGATTGTATGTGGATTAATTTGTGTTCCGGGATGTTTATGTTATGCTGAATTAGGTACGATGATTCATAGCTCTGGTGGAGATTATACATATATTAAAATGGCATTCGGTGATTGGGCTGGTAAGAAATTTTTGTTTAATTATTTACTTAAATTTTTCTTCAAACTACTTTAGGTTTTTTGAGAGTTTGGAGTGAAATATGTTGTGTACGTCCAGCTATTATTGCTGTATGTGGTATAACAGCATCAATTTATTTACTTCAACCAATTTACAATCCATGTTCTCCACCACACTTAGCTGTATTGATGCTTGCTTGCTTCTTTATTTTAATGTTAACACTCCTTAATATATGCTCAACTCGTGGATCAGTTATTTGGCAAAATGGAACATTTTATGCTAAAGTTTTCTCATTATTTCTTGTTATTAGTCTTGGAGCTTTTCAATTAGTACGAGGGCATCATGATGTATTTACATCTCCATTTGAAAATACTGAAACTAGTGTTAAAAAACTATCGATTGCACTTTATATAGGTTTATTTCCTTATACAGGTTGGAATTATTTATCGAATGCAATTGAAGAATTAAAACAACCCGAACGAAATTTTCCTATTGCAATCATGACATCCATTATAGCTAGTACAGTACTTTATGCTCTTGCCTATAGTGCATATTTTACAGCATTGACACCTTTTGATATCATGACAACTGATGCTGTTGCTGTTTCATTTGCCGAAAATGTTTATCATCCATTACGCTTTATTATGCCTTTGTTTGTATCAATATCAGCTCTTGGTGGTCTTAATGGACGTATGTAATTTGAAATACATTTCAATGATGAACTATTTTCATTCTATTCCTTCTCTTTTTTAGAAATATTTTCTATTGTTCGTATGTTTTCTGTTGCTGGTCGTGATGGACTTTTACCGACAATATCTGCTTATATTCATTATAAAAATTTGACACCTGTCATTCCATGTATTGTTGAAGGAATACTTGGTAGTATAAGTTTTCTATTGATAAAACGAATTTATTTGTTTTTCTATTCGCCAAGGTGTCCTGTATGTACTTGTTGGCGATGCTAATCGTCTTCTTGGCTATTTAAGTTTCAGTACGTGGGTTGTTTGTTTATGTGGCGCAATAAGTGTACTTGTTTTCCGTCGTACCATGCCTGATGTTGTTCGTCCATTTAATGCTGGCATTGCTGCTCCAGTTATATTTATTATTGCAATGACTGCTTTAACGTTCGTCAATATAATTTTTAATCCACTTGACATCTTAGTTGGTGTTCTTATTCTTCTTTCTGGTTTACCCGTCTATTGGATATTTGTTCTTCGTCGACCTAAATTAGTCGACAAATTTAGTCGATCGGTTGTTTTATATTTACAAAAATCACTACTTATAGTACCAGATAATGATAAACAACATGATTAAATTTGAAATAACAATAGCAATCAATCGTTTGTTTTGTTTTCTAAAGTTGAAATAAAAAGAACTAGAAATAGCAATCTCGGGCATGCATTGCAAAAATATAATTGATCTATTTAAGACGATGGAAAGAATAAAAAGAAAGGAAAGAATTAAAGTAGAATTATAACAGAAGAAAAGAAAGGGGGAAAAAATCACTGATACGATTTATTTCACGTCTTTATCGGTCTACTAATTTTTCATAAACGGCAGGAAAAATCCATACGCGCTTAGTCGCTATCTTTTTTTTTCTTTTTTTTTCAAGTTCGCATACGTCGTGATAAACGAAGGAAATGCTAAAATGAACGAAGGTAAACTCTCGATAATTGAATCAGAGGACAAGAAATAAATTCTTCTCTCAGCATTCTCGTCGATTTCTTTGCCAATTCTACATTCATGCTACTTTATAACTCACAATCAGCCGTAACTAAATAAGAACCTACTTCGGAAAAAAATATACACGCCACTCGTTTTTCTTGTTGTCGATTGTTGTTGATCATCATCTTATTCATTATTTCTTATGAACATATGAAGGCCATTAAAATTCCTAATGTAACATTACTTGATGCTTTTGGAAATCCAGTTGGTATTAATAGTCATGATCTTAGAGATCCATCTATAACACCTAATTCATCTTCGACTGAACAAACGAAAAAAAGTTCAGTGAACAATCCTTCTGAGGATATTAAGAAATTGACGTTAGCTACAGATTCAATAAATAAGCCGCACAATGCTGAACGATTAACTGTTATAGGTTAGTAAATAATATTTTTGTAGAACTAATGTCACCAAATATTTATGATACATGATACGAGAAGAGAATAATAAATATCTGTCTGATTTCTACGTCCATATTCAATTTACATTTAAATTAGATTTACCTAGATTTTTTTGAATAGTTAATACGAAATAAATTTTGCAAGATTAAAAACGGGCACCAATCTGATTTTGATTTTTTTTTCTTAATTATCCTAGGAGAAACGCCACTTCATATTGCTGTTGTTTATAATGATATAAGTTCAGTAAAACTTTTAATCAAACACGGTGTCGATGTTAATAAATGTGTTGTTGGTAATTTTAACACGCCAGATAAATATCGGAATATTGAGGAAGATAAAAATGGAAAACGAAAAAGAATTCGACTATTTGTTAACCGTCAGACTAAATCACAAAAACAATTTGATCCACAAAATAGTAGCATTGAAAGTAAGTTCAGTATACATCATTGTTTCGTTTTCTTTTTGCATACTCAACAATTATTCCCTTAAGCTCATGCTTACTATGGTGAATATCCATTAGCATTTGCTGCAGCATTTGGTCATTTAGAAATATACGATTATTTAATTCAACATGGTGCCGATCCAAATCTGCAAGATTCTTATGGAAATACAGTTCTACATATGCTCGTTATTCGAGACAGCATGGTAGGAGATTTTGTTTCTTATAACAAAGTACTTTTTCTTCTGATCATATGATTCACTTATCATTTAGGATATGTTTAAACATGCTGTTCGACATCCATTAAAAAAAGCTCGTACAGATATTCGAAATAATTCTGATCTAAGTCCATTAACATTGGCAGCTAAGCTTGGTCGTAAAGAACTTTTCCTTGAATGTCTTGAATTAGCTCATGTGGTAAAGTATTTATTTTATCTTTCTATTTTTACTTTTCATTCTACTCTTTTGAGTTAAGAGGACAGCAAAACAAAAGCGAAATTTGACATCTCTTTCAACAAGTGAACGATATGTGATATCTCAGACCCAGAATTGATCGAATCAAAAAGAAAATCTTTTACTACTGCATTTAAAATATTTTTGTCATTAGAGAGAGAGATAGTATATGAAAATTCAAATCACAATACAACTGTTGATTTTAATCATGAATTAATATCATGAGAACATTTCTTCTGGAGCAAATATTTGTTTATTAATTCAAGGTTAAATTTATATTAGATAAAAAAGAAAGAGTGTTTTTCAACAAGTCGAAAACTGAATTGTAAAATATATTGGAATTCTTGCCAGACAATAATGAGATTAGTTCATCTTTATGATCATATCAATAAACGAAAGAGCATTTATAGGAACATTTTCAAAGCTTTTATTTACTCATTGTCTGATTTCCTTCCGTTTCCTAAATAGATTACTAGATCGCAATTCAGATTGGAGCAAAAAATAGTATACGTGACAAGTACTCCTATAAACATTGTCTGAGTATTGAAAGTACTGACATAATTTTCTTTGATGATTTGCTCAACGTGATATTTATTTATTAAAAAAACAATCATGTCAAGTCAACAAACGGTTCTTGTTTCATGTTTCAATTGTAAATCTACATGATGATGATTAGTCAGTGGAGAAACAATTAGTGTACTAGTTTATGGAACCATTTTTGGTATATTCAATTCAATAAGTAATGACTTCGAAAATTAAGAAGAGTTACATCAGTGATTTTTTTAATTAAAGAATTTGAATTGCACGAGAATAGCTCCACATAAAGATGATAACTATTTTTCCTAGGAGAAAATTTTTAATTCTTCAAGTTCTAAATCTTACTATTATGTTCATTATACTTCAATATAAGTTATCTAGAACGATAATTGAAACAATGTTTGATAAAATGACGCTTCTTGCAGCCTTTTATAACATTTTCTGACTAAATTACATTTACTACACTGAAGACACCCTCAATCGAGTCTGTCGATGGCATAAGAGGAAAAAGAACTACTTGTGTGACTTTTTTTTATGACAGATGCATTTTTACTAATATAGGTCATAAATAGCTGGAAACTATTTCATTTGCTAGAAAATAATTGGCTTCATCATTCTAGTTGATAGTAGTGCATCTAGTCAGGACAGTGATGGGACTGTAAAACGATTGAACAATATTAGAATAGAAGTGTAATCCCAATAGAACATAATCCATCCAGGATTCATGTAAGCCGAACTGAAACTAAACCTACTAGGTGAATCAAACAAAAGTATGCATTGAAAATTTTGAGATTTTTTCTCGGAAAATTAGTAGTCATCTTTTTCTTAACTTTAAACATTCGTGTTAGAAATAACAGTCACTACTCAGATTATTAATTGCGATTTTTCTTTGCATCTGCAGCACAGGAGAAAATTTTGGAAAGACCAATTAATCAAGTCACTTTTTTTAGTCCATCAGCATCTACTATTATTGCATTGTCTTCTAAACAATAATTATAAGTATTTTACATGCGAATTCCTTTAGGAAATTTGGCGTTATTCTAATATAAAATGTTGCACATATCCCCTTCGTGGTATTGATACAATAACTGATGGTGGTCAGATAGGTTCGTTTGCTGTTTGTCTTTACTATTAATTTGCTACTTCTTTTGCTTTTGCAACATTAAAGATTGGAATTCTTCATTAATGTCAATTGTTAGTGGTAAAACTGAAGATCATTTAGACATGCTTGATAATATGGTCATAGAACGTTTATTAAATGATAAGTGGTCTTCATTTGCTCGAGTAAGCTATTTTAATAATTAATAATTTTATGTTTTATTTCTTTCAAAATTCAAGGTTACATTTGTTCGACAATTAGTTTTACTTTGTTTACATCTATTATCGTTAACAACTGCAGTATTTTTACGTAATCCAAAAGGTGATCAACCGTTAGCAAAACGAATTATATGTCATATTGCTGAAGCATGCGTCTTAAGCGGTTGTATAGTTAGCATATTCGCATTGCAAGCAAAAGAAATTTATTTACAAGGTTTTGCTTATTATTTACAAAATTTAGTAAATAGAGAAAATTTTAAAGAAATATTTTTTTTAATTTCTAAAATCTTTTATCTTTCAAGAAAAGTTATCCAGAAAAATTTCTCTATCAATGTTCATGTATACTAATAATACTAGCAGCACCGTGTCGTGTATTGTATTTTCTGACAAATAACATAACGTTTGGTTACATTGAAGATGGTTTAGTATCGCTTGCAATACCTGGAACATTTTTATTTTTTCTGTTTTTCGGAAGAATCTATGAGTTAACAGGTGCATTTATCGTTATGATATTTGAGATGATTACAGGAGATATAGCGACATTTGGTGTCATTTACATAATTGTTATCACGGCTTTTGGTCAAGGTAGAAAGGTTTTAAGGAATTGAATTTTGCAGTAGCGTTTGTTCTTCTTGTTTTCAGTTTTTTATTTATTATTTCGAGATACAACTGAAGGCGGCAATTGTGAACGTGTAGTATTAAATGAGACATGTGCAAATGATAACATGTGTTCATTTAAAAATTTCGAAGCTTGGATGACTATGGTCCATTTTACAATGGGAGAATTCGATGTATGTTAAATCATTTAATTTATTGATTAATTCTTTTTCTGACAATTTTCCTATGTTTAGTTTTCTCGTTTTGATCTAACACATTATTCATATTTAGTTAAAATTTTATTTATTGTTTTCATGATATTAACACCTATACTTTTATTGAACATGTTGATCGCTTCCATGGGTAATACATACCAACGTGTTATCGCAATTAGTGAAAAAGAACGCATCCGGCAGGTTGGAAAAGAATGAAATAGTTTTGTTTTAAATATTTATGAGCATCTTTTTCCTTTGTAAGTGGGCTCAACTTGTATTAACAATCGAAAGATCTTGCTCTGCAACACAACGATTTGACTATCAAGGTGTATACGCCATTGGATCTGATGATAAGCGTGATCTAATGGTTATAAAACGAGCAACAAAAAGTAAAGCAGCCCAAAGAAAAGGAGCTATTGGCAATTGGAAGGTAAATCTTGTCAAAAAGAAAAAAGAAAATGATAAGAAGAGACGTTCAAGGTTAAAAAATAAAACCATAAAAAAGAAGAAATCTTATTTATCAAACGATATCTATGATATTATTTTAATGACGTCTGTTTTTACAGCCTATTTACAAAAAGTCTATTTACGTTACATTGTTCTTAATTTTAGCGAATTGGAAAAATTGTTCTATATTTACTTAAAAAACAAAATACAACAGCCGAACACCTTCAACTTCGTCGGTTATCACATGAATCTGTTATTTTTCAAACAAGAGCACCATTCGACAATATGATTGACACCCTTACATGGGAACGTGATATGGATTTATCTGGACCCAAAGGATTAACATTATCAAATCCAAATCTAAATTTAGGTTCAACACAAAATACAGCAGATTTAAATTCGTTGGTATCACGTCCACCTTCACCTCCACCACCGCAGTTTGTAACTAGTGAATTTCCAATTCCATCATCAATACCACAACAATTAACTGGCGATAGGAAACCGGTACGTCGTTCAGAATTATCTGAACTTCGTTCTCGACCGTCATTTATTGATTATGAAGACTTAGAAGTATTTCGTCATATGCAATCACTAGCAAAAGCATCAAATGTTTGGCATCAGCAACCCACTCGAAGACCTTCTATGGTACCTGTTGATGCTGATGGTTATCGAGACTTACTTTCGGATGTTGATAATAGTCACGGAGAAGATACCAAAAAGATCAAAGCAAAGAAATTCATTCCACGTGGTACATCGAGTACAAGTATTAAATCAAAAATAAGTGAAACAACTATTTGTTAGTTGGTTTTGTCGGTTTTTCTAAAGTTACATCTTATTTCTTTAAGTTTCGTTTTATTTGCACATATTTCTTTTAATAGAACAAAGAGCAAAGAACAAAAAACGATCACGTTTAGAAAATAATAAAGCATATATAAGAAATAAAGAGTTTTGTTTACATTAGTCGATCTTAACAATTGCAAAAAAAAAATGAAAAGCGACTAAATTATTACAAATAGATTGTTAAATACTTTTTGTTTCAATATTAAAAATCATATATCTAAAAAGTCCGATGTAACATAGTTCGTCTGTTATTGATTACCACCTTTAAAACCATGTACATAACCTGTAGTATTAACTTCATCAGCGCGACCTTCTTTTCCTTTACCATGGCCTTCTTCGTCGAAACGCTCCTTATGGGTGCCTCTAGAAACAAATGTATAATCATAAAAATAAAAATAAAATTGTGACACAATAATCATATAATTACGTATATTGTGATGTATCTGTCATTCGATGTGTAATATCTTTATTGGCAGTTTCAGTTACATTTGTAAGACTAGGACCTTCGTTTTGGTTGATTTTAGACAAAATTTCATCATGACCAACACCTTTTGATTCCGCAATACGATCAATTAACAATTTAAAACCTTTAATTTCAAATGTTTTCCTAAATAAACAACGAATATTAGGTAAAATTCATTATGTGCATTGTTACTTACGTTCCTTTTGGATAATGAGTAACGCCAGCTTCGGCTGCTCCTGTTGTTAATTTTCCAAGTACACGTGCAATATCATTATCCAATAATTGGGATGTATATTTGGAATTTAGTAATGAGCAATCTTTCATCATTTTCTGTATTCCGCCTGAACCTATTCGAAGTTCATTATGATCAGCTAACTGTGCCTGAGTTTTGCCAAATTTAGAATATTTATCAAAGGCTTGGCGTAAGCCGGATGACACAGACGAAGAAGAAGAAGAAGATTTAGCTGCCATTGTAGTATATAGTTAGGTTTGGCAATGCGGTTAGAAATGTGTGTGTGTGTGTGAGTAAAGAAAGTAGTATGAAGAATATGTCTAGAACTGTCGTTCCTTTCTATGTAATTAGAATAAGGCTTTCTCTCGCAATTTTTTTCGTTCTTGCGTTCCAGAAAAAATACTCGTCGCTACTGTCCTAGGCAATGGTTCGTTGATGCATATTTTATATATTTTTTTCTCTTCTTTTTTCCCCCCCTCTTTGTCGTTTCTGCCATAGATTCTTATCTGTTATTGTCTTTTTTTGTTTTATTCGCGCTCCGAGTCGTCATGCAGCTATGCATCAGGCAACGCAGAGGAGAGACTAGAAAAAAGAGAAAAAAAAAAGATATATAGCTTCCGTTCTACGACTAACATGTTAAGCTCACACATTTTGACAAATGATCATGACATGCAAAGTTCATATAGTGATAAGATCATTTTTATTGTGCTAGAGATAGAACCAACTGCTTTAGTCATGTTATATAAGAGGACATTTCAATGAATTCTAATTCATGTAATGATTAAAATCGATTGCTAATCGATATAAAAATGATGCTAACTAATGGAAATAATGAGATATGAAATTACAAACGAACATAATTCGATCAAGCCTTTGAAGCTATCACCGGATATAATCATAATAATAATAATAATAATAATAATGAAACTGATAATTATTATTATTTTCATTAGCATACATCTACAAGAACTACGCATTTAGATCGCATCTATGAAAAGCATTATATTAAAGGAAAATGTAAAATGAAACCTTAATAAAAACTTATGTGTTAGAAAAACACATCATAAAAATATAAGTTGACATTTGTTGACTATAATAAATATAATATTTTATGCCTTTAGGAAAATACACGCAAGATACAAAAAAGAAAGCTTTTAACTCAATTGGTTCGTGTGAATTTTATTTGAAGTCAGCTAGTCGAAGAAAGAAACGAAATAAGAACAGCGAATATAAATTAAAATGACGCTGTTATATACTTGAAAAGAATTCTCATCGAATTGTATTCTATTACGAATGAATTTTTATTCATCATACAATACTGCATGAATATTCACCATGTTAAAATCTTATAGAACCAAAATAATAGTTCATATTTATCATATACTTTGTAAACGAAAACATTCGATGAAATTTTTAGTTTTATTTATAATAGTGAGAAATATCTAGCATTTTCTTAGCATGTTTATTTATGGCTATTTTCATCACAAATATATGCAATACCTAAAGGGAAAATAAAAGTAAAAGCAATATTGTAATCGTTTTACTATATAGATAAAATGGGAATAACAAGAACAAATGATTATCATATTTTATTAGTTATCATTAATTATTTGTTTATGTAGATAAAAAAAGTATATTAAATCTTTAACTCTTCGCTTTTGCATTATTATTATCATTGTTATTCTATCAAAATAAATGTACAACAAACTGTGCAGACCATCACAAGATTCAATTCCGTCGAGAAATCGAACCATAACTTTTTCTTACGATTATGAATATTTTAGTATTTGCCAGGTCCAATCGAGTAATACATCGATTCTTCTTTCATTACTTAAGTATATTTCACGCAGAAGACACAAGTTAGTTCGTCTGATCAAAAATATTTCTATTCTATCTTATCATTTATTATTAGTATGCAAGCATCGGGTTCTTCATCTATGTTCGTCTTTACGTTTACATTTCGACTTTTATGCATTATTTGTTGCATTATTGCTGTAGTAAGTAAACATTTTTCTATTTCGAGTTGTTTCTTTAGCGCATAATAGTTTTCATAAAGAATTTTTATTTGATTCATGATAGATTGTATGATGAATGTTTACTTTCATTTTTAGACGTCATACAAAATCAGCTATCGTCCTTCAATTGGCGAAGATCGAAACGAACGGGCTGTAACTGAATGGCGTTTTCGTCGAAATTTTTTGCTTCGCCATCCTTATCTGGTGCCAGTTCATCCCGAGGTAAGAGTTCATTGTTATTTATTTATCTGTAGATTTTACTTTTGTATTTTTTTCTTTTTTGTTTTGTTTTCATAGAACCTTATGGAAAATGTTGAAAAAAATGATTATGGCCAATTTGACGAAACGAAGTCACATGAAAAACAGTTCATTATTCCTCAACTGGCTCGTCTTCGAAGTGAACGCAAAAAATAATGACTAAATATTATTTAAAACACTTGAAGAGAAGTATAAAAATAAACAAGAAAAAAAATCATTTTCATTTGCTGTTTTTTTTTCGCTTCAAAATTTATATAGTCATCTAAACGTTCGCATCGAATACATCTATCATACAAGG